TCATAGCACATAGCTGACAGTAAACGTCTTACTTTGAAATTCATCAAAATATACCTGAATCAAGTCGAAACATTCAAATAGAGCAATATTTATATTTTTTACGCACTTTTTCACGCCGACGAAAATAGAATAAACAAACCGATCATTCCTACCTGGGATCAAATAAATTCCTCTTCGAATAAATTCCTTCCGGACCTATAATTCACGGGACCCCTCGTGAGAGTGTCAGTTTTATTTAGCGATCGTCGCGCGGTTTGAAGGAAAAAAAGGCAAAAAAAGAAAAGAAACCGGATGGTGTTAAATATGGAAAATATGACAGGGGCTTAAATTGAGTTTCTGAGGTGGGTTAAGCCTGGTAGTGGAACGCTGCTCGGCCTGACAATTACTTTAACAAAGATTTGTCACCGGCTTTGGTTACTGATTGAGTTATCTGATTTTTAACTCGGGACCTGGTGAGGGGAGAAAAAGAGTCAAGGGTCCCCACTTCCTCCCCTTCTTGGTGAAATAAATTAGATAATGATGGATCAAGTTATTTGATATTTGTAATAGGGTGATCACCATCTGCTATCTGCTCCTCTCTTTCTCCCCCCTTTTCAATTTTCCCGAATGGCAATTAAAATTCCAAAAGTCTTTTGCACACGGAAATTTTGAGAACTTTTTTTAACGAGTGATGATATAATTAAAATTAATTCCATCCCTAACCATTACTAACCGTATTATCATTGTTTTATCAAATACATTTTTCAATAAATGATCCTTGAAATAATAAATAAATTTTATAAAAAATTGTATTCGTATAAATTCAAATATTTTATCAGTTATTAAAATAATTAAATTCTCAACTACAGAAAGTTTTGTATGTATACATGTCTACTCTTTAACAGAAAATTGTATTTATAAAGAAAAATCGTTTATTTGGGTTTTATATTTTGGAATGGGTTTGGTAGTTATGGTAGGAAGTGAATGATAACTTGCCAGCTGTTTGACCATTAGTGATTGTCTGCAGATCCTGCCGTTTCCGCTGCCGTTGGCGGTCAGATTAATGACAGTGGGAAACCGAAATGTGTAACTCTTCTGTTCTGTACTCCTTCAGGAGATGCCAAACGCACATCCCGTTCTATAGGCAAAGTTTAATATGTCTTTGCAAAATTGTGTTATAATGAAATATATATATATANAAATAGATAAAAAGATGTATATATATATATATAGATAGATAGATAGAGCTATTATGTTAAGTGACCGTGGATTTCACGGTGAGAGTAAAATCAAAATGCGAGAGATGTTGATAAAAACAGATACTACACTTTGATGTTGAAAAGGCCGAAAAGCGATGGTTTTCCTGCATTGAATTACTGCAATATCTTTCTAACCAAGTATCCCCTTTACCGCTAATTTCCTTAGCTCGGCACGCCTGGAGAGTGAGATACGAGTGGCTTTCAGATATGCAATAATTGTCGTTCTTGTACAAATACTTTTACTTTTACTGCTTTGTTTTTTAGTATTCTATCAGTTTTCAAGAGGTAATTTGTTCTTATGTAAGTCTTTTTGTTTTCTTCTTTTTTCTCATTTTTCCATCTATTTTCATTCGTACACTTGCTATATGTAGATTTTCTCTTCGAATTTCTTTTGTTTTAATATTTCTATATTTGTAAGCTTTATTATGCAGTAAACGCACCAAAGGGCTACTAGCCATGCTTATTATACTTTGTATCAGTGTTTCTATTTTTTGTTTGTGTCTATTCTAATAAAGTATTGTGTATTGTATTGAGAGATGTTGAAGGGGAATGGGTATCCAATTTCATTAATTAGAAAAGTAATATACCATAAATCCAATGAAAGAATAAACGATGAATCTGAACCCATAACTGACGTACCTGAAAATGAAATTGAGAATTTTAAACCTAACATCTTTGTAAACCAAACAGCCAACGACTTAAAAAGATTGTTGGAAAATGGATTTAATAATAAGATAGGCAATCAAATTTTCACTAAATTGAAAAGTGAAGACCCAATATCAAAACTATCAAACGTGCTTTACAGTACAATGTTATGATTGCCCCAATACATACAATGGCTAGACAAAGCAATGCGTAAGAGACCAAATCAGAAGGAGACCAATAATCAGAAACACTGTTATGACTGCAGTGCTTCAAATAGACGAGGTACTGCATTGTAGCAGCAAGTCTGCACCTCACCTGTGTCAAAAAACTGACAAAACAAATTATGTTTATCTTCAAAGACGATATTCCGTGTAATTTGTAGTCTGATGCAAATAGGTTAAGTTCAATGTGTTGTGGAATTTCAAATGATGACCATACATGATGACATAATTGATTTTAATAAATTGTATGTACATATAATTGTTTGTTTTATTGCGTTTATATTCTTATTTATTAACTATTCATTTGGAATGCAATTTATGTTATGTAAAAAGATAGTTAAACTATTATGTTAAAAGTGGTTTATAGCTAATAATCTAGAATTATTTATAAATGCAAAGGAGAGGGAGAATTTGTTAAAAGCTCCTTCCCTGTACAGGATATAAACCCTACATGAAAGAAACCTCACCCTAGTCATTGTTTTTATTTTTACTATCAGTGATATTGGGTAAATTGGGCAAGCCAATTGATAGTTGAACAGGTGAAGAAGAAAGTGAAAAAGTTTTCAGTGTTAACACGAAAATAAAATAATTTAAGTTTACACACTTCTGAACAAAATCTGAACTTTGTTATGTACAAAATGTTTCATGTTAAATTGGACAAAATTAAAATACATAATATATCTTTTTGTAGAAGCCTGAAGAAGGTACAATAAAGTAAAATTAAAAACATGTTCCTTTGACCAAATCCCTGATAACAATACATTCGACATATCTATAAAACAATACCCACACGTACACACACACGTACACACGTACACACACACACATCTATTTATATATATATATATATATGTCTAGAGAGAGAGAGAGCGNAGAGAGAGAGAGAGAGAGAGAGAGAGAGAGAGAGAGAGAGAGAGAGAGAGAGAAAGAGAGAGAGAAAGAGAGAGAGAGAGAGTGAGAAAGAGGGGGTAAATGGTTAAATTAAATTAGAAGGTAACTAGACTTAAAAGTTGCCTTTTATTATTATAATCACTTATGTAGAAGAATGCGTTTTCTGCAATTGCTCGTTCAGCTAATACGGTTATCAGATTTATAAAACGTCTCACGAAAACTATTTGGCTACAACTGGTACACTAAATCCTAGGAGTTAAAAGCCCGATTGGAAGAGGATTTGTTAAATGGCTTCCCCAGCCCAACGCAATACAAATTTAAATCGGTTCCTTTCGGATTTAACCCTGGATCGGACGGAAGCTGATCTATGAGACAATCACCAGCCGGTTCCATCAACGTTTCAGCCGGCGGAGGAAGCGCCCCAAGAATTATAATGACGGTTTATTGTATTAAAGGACGGTATTCAATTTGAATTCCTAATCCCTTCAATTTACCAGAACATTAGGAAAAAATGGAACGGAGGAAAGACCTTTCCGGAACATCGTTAAAGCGACGAGGGGCCGCCTTCTATCTAATAACGTCTTCAAGGTTGATAGGATGAGGAACAAGCAGAGCGAAAATCAAAGTTTTCGACGTCGGACCGGTGAAGTGTCGTCGCAAGGAAGGCGTCGGGAGGTGCGAGGGTGAGGGGTTGTGAAGTCTGCTCCAATAGAGCGGCAATGAAATAATTTACCCTGCCGTTGATAAGCTCTTTAAAGTGAGGGTGGAAGCGTAGATCGACTGATGGCGACCCGACAAAGAAGATTTCCATTTTATAAACGAAAAAGGGCTGCTACTGCCACATTGACACGTGCACTTTATTGAGTTACATGGTTAGATCATCTCAAAGATCACATCACTGTTTAGTGTAAAATAAGCCAAACAAAAAGCAAAATTAAGCTGAAAGTAGAGTCTATTGTTGACAATATACTTATTTTCAACGTGTAGATTTGTTTAACATGTTGAAAGAAATATGTAATTGCCCAATAACGTCTTGAACAAAAATGCACATTTATTTTGTATTTTTAATCAAAGACTTATGCGTTAAATATTGCTTTTTGGCAAATTTACAATTACATTTGCAAAGCTATACCCAAAATATTCAAATTAGTGACTCTTTACAATATTTTCTTTTAACTTTGTGCGATTTTCTTTTCGAAGGTGCAGAATAATGAACATGTATTTTCGGCGTTTCCGAACAGTTCTATCCAACACGTCCAAGCTTTTTGAATTGTTTAGACGTTAACTCTAATAGAATGTTGGTATTTATAATTTTGCAACGTCGGCGTTATCTCCATACAAAGAAATTTTACATGCCGAGTGATCTATTGCTCGCTCTTATGCATAAGCATTAGGTTTAATTAGCTTCATTTTTAGACATAGATCTCGACCATACACTTGCATTTTAGCCTAGCCAACCATTAGAGATGGCAAAACGCGTCTGACGATTTTAAACAAGTATTTTTTAACTATTATTTAAAAAACACATAATGTAAAAAAAGTAAAGTAAAGAAATTCCTATCTTACAGAAATGCTAACGTCCAACTACCCTTTGGTTATTGTGGACGATAAAACATACTATAATTATTCTAATTAATTAATCCTTATGTAAGATATTGGTTGAAATTAAAAAGTTAGTGTTACGAGCGGGATTCGAACCCACGACCTTCGGCTATATACGCTGCTGCTCTACCACATGAGCCATCGTGGCTTCGATCCACTCGGACACCAAATTCCTATCTCAACCAGCCTTTCGAATTTTCCCTCCTTTTTACTATTTTTCAAATCAGGATAATGGCACAATAGTTTAATGCCTAAACCAGGATTAGATTCTCGGCGATAAATGAAATGGCCACGTAGAGCTTTAAAGAAGAAGAAGAAGAAAAATAACTTTATTCTGGGACTGGTGTCCCCTTAGAATAATTTACATGAGACAAAATATAATAACCTTCTATGAAGNCTCAACGTTATCACCAGTATTGTTCAAGCCGGCCTGGTAACGAGAATCCAGTCACGTGAAAACGCAGAAATTAAGTCGGATATTTTGCCCGAAAACGAAGAAGAATGGAAAATCGAAGCTTATCTACAGGATTAAGATGTTGCTCCACACAAGTAAGCCAAAATTAAAAGCAATTGACAAACCTTAGACCGGCAGGAAAAGCAGTTGAACCAGAGTCGATGTGTCGCGTGTCGCTTCAAAGAAGGTAATCAAGAAATAATGAGTGAAGATATACTTCGTTTTACTTATTAAATCCATTATATTTCTTGGTCCGTTTGACCAAATAACTTCCTCCAATTAATTAATCTTTATGTAGGGTATTGGTTGAGATAAAAAAGTCTGTGTCACAAGTGGGATTCGAACCCCGATCGAAGTCAATATAGCTCAAGTGGTAGAGCAGAGGCGTATTTAGCCGAAGGTTTTGGGTTCGACACCCGCTCGTGAAACTATCTTTTTCATTTCAACCAATACTTTACAAAAGATTAATTAATTAAAAGAAGTTATTTGGCCAATCGGACTACGAAATATAATGGATTTAATATAATTATTGTTAAACGATCATAAATGATTAATATGTATGCATTTTATCTACCGAAAATGTATTAACTTTGCCTAATATAGTAAAATTGCTGCTGACAGGTGTGTGAAATTGTGGTAACAACATGAGCAAGTAGATGAACGTAGTGGCATGCGATACCAATCGATATGAGTAAAATATTGAGTATTTTCTTTCAGTACCTAGTACTTTTGGTATTGTCATTCGATACAAGTACTGTATCGAGTACTTTTTAGAGTATCCGTAAAAATACTCAAATAGATTTTTCATCGAGTGTTCAAATAATATTGGTTTATTATTTTCCGTTGGAAACATAACTTTCATCAAACTGGGAGTTGAGTAGTTACCGTTAGGAACGCTTACAAGCGGCGCGTATCAACAAGTTAATCGAAATTTGTAATTGGTGGTTGGTAACTCTGCTGATAATTTTTATTTCATAATTATTTCCCTAGTCGCACCTCGCATTTTTAATTTCAGTTTAATTTTTTAAAATGTTATTATTTTCATGTATCGAAAAACTATTCCCCTTCCTTCTCATACGTAAATCATGGCTCCTCCCAAAAGTAAGGCATGAGGTTATTTTACTAAGAAAACTGAATCGTCGGCATCTTGTAAATTGGGAATAAGTCTAACCTTTTTAAACATTTTAAAATAAAACACAAAACACACCCGATGATTAATTTTCTCAAAGCTCGATAACGATAAAATTGAAATATCAATTTTGTTGAAACGTGCTGAAAGTTTTTCCTTGTTATTACTTACGTACCCAATGCGTAAAAAAAATACATAAAAATATGAAAAAATTAGCAAATTTTTATTTATTTTAACGCATGATCGTATTTTACCCGCAAATCGATAGTGAGTACGTTGATCATTTATGAATAAACGACGAAGTACTCACATGAGTAAGTACTCGTTAGAATCGAATAACTTCTGTCGATACTTGAGTAGTATCGAATACTTTCTGGTCACTAGATGAAGGTACTGTTTCCACTTTCGACACGATGTACCCCCTTTCATTTTTTTAAGTTAGGACAATGAACTGAAGTGAAATGTTTATCTATTTGATATTACAGTACGATTAGGGGAGGCAATTAGAAGGAAAACAATCAGCTCCTATTTCGTCCATAAGAAATTTAAATCCCTTGAAATTCTATGAAATTATACTTATTGATTTAAAAGTAATTTGAACAAATGTATCAAAGAAATATGAAAATTCTATTAACTATTTGGAAACCTAGGTTTGGTTTTAAAATGAACTGTGTGAACGGTCTCAAGATTTTTCCTTTATCTTTTGGCCGAGGGCAGGGATATACCATGTATTACACACACTACAACGGACCAGTGTGCATTTTGCAGTAGCAAGTGTTGTTTCCGGAAAAAGATTAGAGAGCGTTATCAGCTCGGTTATTGAAATGATTACCAGCATTCTCCCATTTTCATTACACATTTCATTTTTGAGACCTTCGCTTCGATCTGCTGTTTCCACGAAAGCTAAATACGGACAAGCAAAGCATCACCTAAGCCTGCTAATTTCGTGCAAAAGAAAAGACTAATTGAATGTCTCGAACACGAATTCAACTAATATGTCAAATGCATGACTTGATTTTTTTTTTAATTAAAACGAAAATATTTTATTTATAAAACGCTAGGGGTTTGAGATGAAAAAGAAAATTGAAATGGAATAACGAAATAACATCTGTAAAAATCAAGATAAAAACCGAACCGAATTTTCTCGAATTGAATACATGAAAATATAAAAATAATTATTTCATCTCATTGAGGAGCGTTCATAACTAAAATATTTAACGAAAAAAATCTGCTAAACAAAGTAAACAAAAAAAGAGCCATTTTGCAATTCACGAGCATTAAAATGTATTTATTATTATTCGGCACAAAAAACTAAATTATTTCCATACTTGTGTATTATCTGATAATTTTTCTTCTTCCTTATCGACCTGAAGTGTGTTTATGATTATTGATTCTAAGATCTGACCGGTTCTTGGACACAAAAAACTTTTCTTTCCCTAAACGCAGGCATAATACCTTATTGTTTTTCTTTCTTATTGGCCTCACATTAGTACCATAACATTTTAATTAAAGATTTAAAACTTTCATCACAAATGAACAATATATATATATGTATATATATAAGNTATATATATAAAATATAAAAATGTTTCAAATTGTGAAATCTATTATTTTAATATGTAACATAAATAACTATAAGTTTAAAATCGTAACTGAGATTTCATATTCGTTAATTTCTTAAACTAACAATTATAGTTTTAAAGTCCTGATAAAAAAGGTTACTTCTTGAAAGGTTGATGTAAGAGATGAGTGTTTTTTTATACTCAACTACGACCATGATGTTATAATTTCAAATCATTATTTCTTTCAATTTGTTAATCTTTTTATGTAGAGGAAATAGTCATGGAAGGCAAAAAACTGGGTAAATAATTACCACAATAAAAAGACTTATCATCGAAAATTCATCACTTCCATCAACTGATTTTTCCTTTACACTTTTTCTTTCCAGAAGAAAAAGTAGAACATCATTAACACTTAACTAAAACTAACTGAAGAGGCAAAAATTAAACAATTACATGAACAAGCGATGAGTTGCAAATTAACAAATACTTTACATAAATCTTAAATAAACTTATAAACATTTTAAACTAAGAAAAATATTCAAAATACGACCTTCAGTTAATTCGTGGGTTCGAATCCAGCTCGTGGTACTAACTTTTTCTTGCAACCAAAAACCTTACATAAAAAGATTAATTATTTGAAAGTAATTTGGTCAAAATACCACTAAATGTAATAGATGAAATTATTATGTTGAATGATAATCAGTAATTATACTGAACAAAGTAACAAAGAAGGAAATAATTAAACAAAATCTTAGACAATTGAACAGATAATAATATTTTATTTTCCTGTGTCGCATTGAGAGTATTTTTCTTAGTTTAAGAAGTTTATAAGTTTATTTAAGAATTATTGAAAGTATTTCTTAACTCCATTATAATTTGTGGTCCGATTGATCAATTAATATTTTTCAATTAATTAATCTTTGTCTAAGGTATTGGTTGAGATAAAAAAAATCAGCGGCACGAGCGGGATTCGAACCCACGACCTTCGGCTAAATACGTCGCTACTCTACCACTTGAGATATCGTGACACCAACGTCCCTCTCAACCTCACCTCTCAAATTTTTTCTCCTTTTTGCCATTTTTCAAATGTCGTGTAATCTATTTGATTCACGGCTACGGAGAGATTTAGTGAAGATATGCTTCGTTTTACTTATTAAATCCATTACATTTCTTGGCCGAAGGTCGTTGGTTCGAATCCCCCTCGTGACGTTGACTTTTTTATCTCAACCAATACCTTTGATAAATATTAAATATTTGTTAACTTGCAACTCATCGCTTTTTCTTTTAATTGTTATAATTTTTGCCATAGTTATAGTTAAGTGTTTATGATGGTCTAAAGGCAAAGAAAATCAAGTGATGAAGTGATGAATTTTCGATGATGTTTTTTTATTGCGCTAATTATTTACCCAATTTTTTTCCTTTCATGACTATTTATGACGACTATTATAGAGGTTGTGGGTCGCTTTGAGCATTATATTGCGGTATGTGGGTGACATAGGAAATGCATTATTATAGTTTGCAGTTAATGGGGTTCCCCTCAAGTCCGTGCAATTAATTTAGGAGCGAAAATTCACCGTCAGCGGTCCTAGCGGCGCGGGGAGTTGAGGTTAACATTCCCCTTTGCGTCCCTATGATATTAGTGGTCCCTCGCCGCAACCGGTTTGTTAATAGCGGGACATTTGTCGTCTGTGCAGAGTGAGAGGGTGTAATTAGTCTCAAGATTTGTCTCCATTGTCCCCAGAGGCCGGCGGTACATTGCCGACAACGTCTCCGCTGACTGGTCCTAGGTGCACCACGGCCCCTTCATTATAAATCGCCCAGAGCGTACAAAGAGAGCATTATCCCGTTGTCTTTGAGGCCGGCCTAATGACACTCAAGTCCATTGTCTCACGGGTCAAGCGAACAAACAGGTCCTAGCATCCTAGATTTGTAAGCAAAAACGGCCCGACCCATTTGGTATTGCTCTCTGCTTATAAGCAAACAATGCCTCGTTAGAAACCGCCATTTAGTTTGTCAGAACCAAATTTTGAGCATTTGATCGCCAACGAGCTAACAGTATTACGATGCTTGTAAGTAAATTATTTATTAACACATATTATTAACCTGTTTCTTAAAGATACAAAAATTTTTTTTTTATTGAGTAATAATTGCTAAATTTGTAAATGCATTGTGCTTATAATTATAGGTTTGAAATATTACAAATAATCTGCTCAAAATGAAGGGATATTGCCAATTTTTTAGTACTTACTTTCCCCAGCAATTTTATTGAATTTTTATTACAAATTGCATTTAATTATTAGAAATTATTACATTTTTTCTAAAGGAAAATTTAATTAAGGGATTTGAAAAATAACAAAATAAAAGGTTTTAATTCCATTATTTTTATATTGGACAAAATAGTTTGTTTAAAGAATTAATACCTTGTATAATTAAATACATTATATTTAGTGGTCTATTTACCAAATTACGTCTTTCAATTATTAATCTTTTTATGTA